AGGTTTCCAAGTTAGATATTTAAAGCTTTAGGGCTGCTGGCAGCCTTAAAGGGCACTCTGTGGCACTGGGAGAGACAACCGAGGCAGGATAAAGTATTTCACGGCTCCTTCTGGCAGGCAGATGGTGATTCAATGGGCTAGAGCCCGTTATGACCTCCAGCCAAAGGAGCCTCCTGGGCAGTCAGTCCCATTTGCTTTTGTGCTAGTGTTGTGCTTGCCTTTCCTGCTCCCTCCCTCGTGTCTACCCCTTTGGTAGTAGGTGGGTTGCACTCACCCTCTCACCTTTTGTTTTCTGAGGCTTTCCTTGGATGCTTACATGAGACATGGATATTTCTCCAGAACTGATTTTCCTGGACAAAGGAAAACCACCAAGACAGGTACCCAGGACTGTACTTTGGCTACATTATATGCTGCTTTCATGTGCTGCCCTGACCTTAGACTCCTTTCTCTGGGGTCAGAGCAACCAGCCTGCAGCCTCTGAGCACGCCTGGCTTACAGCTGCTCTATTTGCTGAGAGGCTCCCACCCCCATTTTACAGAGCTATTTACAATTCTCGTTGGCAGAACTATAATTTCATGCAGTAGTTCACACACAGTTTCTGTATACTTTCCTAAAGGATGCTTTTCTCTATTCAGCTTTCAGCTGAACTGCTTTAGTTTGTATTTCTGTCTCTCCACTTCCACTAGCCAGGTTCACATGGTTGCATGTGCAGTGTTATCATTCTAAAGGAAAACCAAAATAAATACTTTATTTTGACTTAGGGCTACGTACGGATTATCTTAGCTTTCTTTCCAATCCTCATGCCACAGCTGAGAATGTTCAATAAACTTTCCTGTTATCATTAGTTCTTCTAAAATACCTTCTGCTTAACCGTAAAACTCACCAAAAAAGATTGCCGTAGAGGTTTGAAAGCAATCTATTTCTCCTCACTGTGAGGCACCGCTTGCTGGGAGCTGTTTCTTGCTGAGCTGTCTTGGTCCTGTAGCACACAGTAGCTCCCAGGCTTAATAGTGCACTCAGTGTGCTACTGCTGCTCAGTGTGCTACTGCTGCTCAGTGTGCTACTGCTGCTCAGTGTTTCCCCCCCACGGTAGTCCCTGAGGAGGCCATAATCTGAAGTGTTATGGTGGCTGAAAAAGAGACCATCATCTTCCTTTTATAGAAAATTCTCGTGTGTAATAGATACTCCAGTACAGTTTCTTTCTCCCTGAGTTGTGAAAGTTAGCTGGGAGATTGGGGATGTGGAAGGAAATACCAGTAAAAAAAAGCATGCCCCCCTCAGATTTGCACACACAAAACTGCAGTGACATTTGCAGGGGCAAATGTGTTTCCCCCAGGGTAGGGATTAACAGCCAAACCCGCACCTTCACCTCATTCCTCATCTGCCTGAACAGAAACATCTTCAAGGAAATCTCTACAAGTAAACAAAGCTCAAAAACGCCCAAACCTCTTCAAGGTTTTTTTAGACACTCCTGCCTTTATCAATACCATGTGGGATTTCCAGGGAGAAAGCTTGGGAGCTGGTCATGATGGATGAAGCTGCCAAAGTTAAGCTTGTTTTAAACCTACACCTGTGCCATGGGGCAGCTTGAAAATGAACTTGGCTGTGCTACATGAGGACTTGAACTTAATTAGGAAGGGGGAGCAGGAATGGAAAAGGAAAAGGAAAAAAAAAGTAAAAAGACAAGGCTCGAGCACATGCATTTTGCAGATACGGCTGTGCACAAGCGTCTCCGTATCTGCTTCTGACAGATGTCAGGAGTTCAGTTACTCTAATGCTTTCTTCGGATCTCTCACAGTTTTTTACTCATCCTGTCTTTCAAGAACAGGGCAGGTTATTCCCACCAGCTTCCACATGCCAACACTGAAGTTGTGGTGAAATAGTATGAAAAATTCAATCTTCTATCTGAAAAATACTTGTATTGGCTGATATTTTTTTATATCCCGTATGCCTGTTGCAATTAAACCCCTCACACCATTGGCAGCAATAAATACCATAGCAACGCCACATCCTTCCCAGCATTTTGTGGTTGGATATGCAGCCTTACTAACCACCCTACCTCCCTGGAGCACAAGGCAAGCACAGACAGCAGCTCAGCAGCCAAGGTCTCCTCAGCCTTGGTGCCCGCTGTGGGTGGGCAGGTTGGAGAGCAGCAACTCTGTCTCACTAGGTGAGGGGGCACATGGTTGTTGGGCTCATTTCTCTCCCCGAATTTTCGTGGGCTGTCCTGTGTGTCGTCCTGCACCAGGCTGACACACTGGTGGCACACACCAAACAGGAACAGTTTGGATGTTCCTTTAGTGCTGGGGGAGCAAATAAAACATAGTGCTGTTGTGCACATGTGTGAGAGGGGGGAGATGGGCTGCAGTTCAGTCCCACTGGTTCTCATAGCACAGAAAAGCTAGTTTATGCTGGTCATCTTTACTCCATTTCAAAAAAGCACTGGAGCTAGAGTGCTTCCAACCTTAACAGAGATACTAAAATGCTCCACAGGGCAATTAAAGAACCTCTATTATCAAATGCAGAATTTAAAACTGTGTAGGCAGCACTCACTTCCCCACAAGCTGCCGCACTGCACACTGCCCTGGGAGTCCTTGCTGCTGCCCTGGGGCCACAAACCCAGCCAGGTAAAGCCACCACATCCCTGGCAGAGGTCCCCAACAGCTGCCACCCAGGCAAGGAAGAATCCATAGGGCTTGAACCCTCTGCCATCTGATACCACCAGCAAGGGGCTCCTTTACAGCCCCAAGGAGGCTGTACAGCATTGCACAGGCTCCAACCCCAAGCTCTCCTCTGGTTACTCACCTTCAGGCATCTTGTAGGTGGTACGCTTTGCACACTAACTCTTAACCAAACAAAAGCAGCAATACCTGAACCTATTCCTGAGAAAAGTCAGGAGCCATAGGACACACATAGGACATATTTGTTCCTGCTAGGAATGTGCTCCCAGGTGCAGTGAATGAGGAGCAGGGGCTGGTGCAGGTGAGCTGGGGGCTGCTCACAGCTGCTGGGGCAGCTGCTGCCCAGCTGAGCCCAGGCCTGACAGGTCAGCAAGTGGAACATGAGCCTTTGCAGTTGGGCACACAAACCTCAGCAAAGAGTGCTGTAATTAAGAACCTTTGGTCTGAAATGCTGTGGGGCTGCTGAGGGGAGGGAAACTGATGGGGAACATCGTACGGGCAGTGCCACCTCTCTCTGCACTCACTGAAGCTTGCAGCATAGCCAGGGAGGCTGCTAAGAGTGCAGTAAATGCCTGAGCAAGGAAAGAAATGGAGAGTTCAGAAAACAAGCACAACAGCCTCTAGAGATCTAAAAAAAAAAACCAAAAAAACCAACAACAAAAAGTGCATGCCTTCACTATGGTAATATTCCCTTTTCTGGTAAGTATAGGAAACACTGTATAATGTTAGGCAAAAGAAAGCTGGATTTTCACACTGGCCAGGGAAGCAATCCTAGTGACAGGAGATTCTGTCACACCACATATGACAGAGGATGCAGAAATGGTGTTAAAAATAGCTCCTCATTGTGTTCCTTGGCTGCTTTGTACAGTTCCGCCTCAACTCTGCAGTCTGAAAGCTTGTGCTTTATTGCTGTTCTTTTGAAGATGAGTTTCACAATGCCATGTAGTGTCTTAATGCAGGTGACAGGCACATTCACCAGACCCTCGAGTGAGAGGATGGAGAATGAACCACAAAAATGGGTGCAAAACTTACAGGGGCCAGGCTGACATCCTGAAGACTAAAACATCATATAAACTTCCAGAGTGTCTCCTGGACTGCAGGAACGGCTGCTGACTGTGATCCTGTCACATATGTCTATTCTGACCTGAAAGGATCTCCCCATCACCTCTGGCTATGGATTCCTTTGCTGTGGTAGCCAACAAAACAGTACTCATTGCCACCTGTTGCAGAAGTGTCACTGCAGGGGACACAACACTAGGGGCTTCACTCCTGTGGGGCTTGTCTTTGTGTAAGTCCATAATAATGTCACTTTCTTCTGCAGCAGGTGACAGGGCAGCAGAAGCTTCTTTGATCTCCCTCTAGTACTGTGGTTGCCATAAGTTTTGTAATAGTTGTCAGATATTGCAGTAGTGAACGTTGTCTGAAATACAGACCAAGTACAGACACATGCACCCTCAGGATACGGAATGACCATTTCAGACAGGTCACAGGCAGTCCTCTGGTGATCTCATTCCTGCTCAGCAGATAACTGGCCCAGACTGGGGTCCATGGTGCAGGACACTGCCTGGGGTGCCAGGATATTCACTTTACAGAACACCTGAGTTCAGTTTACAGTGATGCTGGAGGTGTAAATCCCAACTGCACTGATATGCAGCAGACAAAAATCTGAGGAAACAACCTGAATTATTTACAAATGGAACAATAAGATCACACTGCTCCACTGATAACACTTTGGTTACAAACCAACAGCAACAAAACTGCTAGCCAGAAGTTCTAGATTGTTGATCTTATAAGAACATATTCAACACGTAGGAAAGCACACCAAACCAACTGTAATGTATAAAATAGTTTATTACTATAATAAATAAAATTAAACTTTTTTTTTTACAAATATTATTTGTGCTTGTTTAAAAATGTTGACTAGGGATATCATTAATGTAGGTGGCTGCATTTGTAACAGAAACATTCCCAGACAGTGTGCATACATACATACACACGCTGTCTATCTACTGGCAGCTGCTTTGCTGACCACAAAAATAGTATCTACTCGTTCTCTTTTTCTAGTCATGCTTCATTGAACAAAGTGACAAATGCAAAGAAAAAGAACCAAGAGTATTTGGTGGATTTCTGAAAGGATAAAAGCAAGTGAAGTACATTGAAAAGCGCCAAAGCAACTGCATTAGCTGCATATCAATCAAGTGTCCATGCAGTGGTTGCTAAATATTGGAACGCAGACAGGTCTCCAACAGATGTACAAATATTGATTGTATGTAGGTACGATAATATAACACATTCATTAGAAAACTTGGTATTTCTTTATATAGCAGTTCATCCTGATACAAGATTATTGAACTTCTTTCATCTACAGCTAAAATGACTCTTTTTCTATGTTAGTGGTCACAGATTTAGTGGGAAGAAGAAAGAAAACCATGAGCCTTCCAGAACAGTTACTGAAAACCCCGAACTGTTTTGTTAACATTAGGCATTTAGATCCAGTTACAGAGGTGTTCTGGGATTACACATCAAATATGTTTACACAACACTCAACAATCAGCTTGAAACAAATTACAGTTGCAGGTAAATTCACATTAGCTTTGTTGAACTGTAAAAAAAACATCTTTGAAACCAACACTTTTGCAGTATGACGGGTTGGCTCCCTGATGTACAAAAGTGTTTAGACAATAGCTGTGTCTCTTTACTTTATGAGGGGAGAGGGCTATTGGAGTAATTCATTATCCTAATAAGAAGGCAATCAGTGGAGAAAGAAATGTGATTACCAGCAAGTGATTTCCATTAGATTTAGAAAGCTAATCAAAGTGCTTCATCTTTAGGCAACACTGTAAATACTAAAGAACATTAAGAAGGAAGGAAAATGGAATCACAGTTTGAATTATATCACTTATGAAAGGGTCTTAAGGCTAAATGCTGGATATATCTTATTGCAAAAAAAGCTTTATTTTTATTTAATTGAATCAATGCTTGCCACAACAATGTGGTCAAAACTATATTGGACTGGAGGATACAGTATCCTACTGTGCCTCACCTCAAACTTCTGGAGGTTCCCCTGGATGAGACTCTCTCTAAAATGTTTGTCTTAATGAATCATAAGTGCAGCTAAAACACAGACTTTGTTATTGCCAATACACCCACAGGAGACTACGTGGAAATGAAGAATTCAGTAGACGATGCTTTTTACCGCCTAACACCAGGACAGGAAAGCAGAGGTGCAGCAACCATGTGTTATGCTGCCCATGAGGAGAAAGATAGGCTCAGCACCTTTGAGGCAGCCCCTGGCACCAGGAAAAATAACTCCATTTATTCCATCATCTCTCTTGCAGAAGCCATGAGAAACACTACCAGGGCATCTTGGCTTCAAAGATACTGTGAACAACAAATATCGGCTTATGAGCCTTATCCTCACTAACTAGAATACAGTGTTTCTCCAATTTCATGTGGATTTCTCTTTCTGATTATCATGACCCTTTGTCAGATCTTCTCTCAGTCACACTATTTACTACACTCACAGTATGAATTAGAGGCCAACTAGAAAATTCAAAAATCATGGCCTTAAAAGTTCAACAGTTAACAAACAAGACACTAACTAGGATATTCTGTGGATGTCTACTGGGAAGATTTAAGCTCCCTTCTTGAACTGGAATCATAAAATGAGGAACGTACTTTTACTTAACAGAAATGCAATCCATAGACTCACTGTACACTGATATTATATATATGTGTGTATGTACACGCATCTGCACGAGCGTAATCATACACATTGTTTATATAGTAAAGACAAATTATGTACTGATTTTTTTTCACAGATTGGTTAAGAATGATTGAAAATATATCACCAGATAGTCACAGTCAATATCTTGTTCAGGTCATTAAAGGGAAGTACTGTAGAAACAGAACGTCACCTTCCAAGCTGTTAAACAGGGTGTTCGCTGGGATTCAGGGCAGCACTGTGGAAGAGATTTAAAGCAAGAATGGTGTTTTCAAACTTATACATGTAATACTGGACAGAAGTAAATGTATCTGAACATGGTAGGGATGAGGGCTGGGTTTTGCTTTTTTAATCCTTTTTTTTTTTTTTTTTGTGCTGCGTATTGGTATTCTTTCTCACCATTCGGAAAGCATGCACTTTCAGAAAGTTCCCATTTTACCAAATCATAACCCAGGCTCTTTTTCTCAACTACCTTCTTTTGACTGAAATTTAATGACACCATATATCAAAATGTAGCACACCATCTCTTTTAGAATGGTGCAGCCTATTTAGCAGGTTCTTAAATGGCAGAAGCACTGTGCCAGAACACAGTTAAAACTGAGGCTTTGGGTTTTTTTTCTTACAATATGTACAAGCATTTGCTTGTGAAGGGGCAGAATCTTATGTTCAGAGGTCCTTCATTTCTAACCTGGAAAGTAATTTAAGTGAAAAGGCTTAACCACCATGTACAGAGGAACAAGAGAAGAAGGAAAGACTGACAAAAAAAAGAAAGAATAAGTAACAATTACAGTGGGTACACATGCTGTCCAGCCACAGTCATCCGAGTGTAAGGCTCAGTGGAGAAAGACAGATTTGTAACACAGGTGTTTTCAGCCACTCTTTAAAGGAAAAGTGTCACATCAGCGGTGCCTGGGCACCACAGCACAGGTCCAAACTAGTCCAAGTTTCAAACGAGTGACTAGTCCCAAAGTGGGCATGGACTCATTCATTTTTTTAACCACTCGGTAGCCCAGGGAATCCAAAGATCAAAGCTCATCCTAGATAGCATCATTTTTCAAATTCTCTTACAACAAATACAGGTTACTGAGAGATGATGCACTTTCCTACAAGTAGTTTTAGTGCTTGACAGTTCATAAAAATGGGCCTAATCTCAGTTAACAGCTGTACAAATCTGAGTGACATGGAGCAGACACTCTGAAGGTGTCATTGAACAGTTTCTCTGCAGTTTCATGACCACAACAAAATTGAATTTGGTCATAATCTTCAAAGACATTAAATTTTCACTGGAATTCACAAGTGTGTTACAATCTTTGGAGTCATTACAAATGCCTTTATAGGCCATTGCAAGAGTCTGAAAAAAGCCTTAGAAAAGGACTTGGTGCTGTGCCCACCCACTGTCACATGGGGTGTGCAGCAGTTCAGTATCATACTGAGCATCAGGCTACACAAGGAGCACCCTCAGAAAATGGGCAGTTGTCTGCCTTTGTTCATAGGAGTGGATTATTATTATAACTCTAGGGCTGGTCCTGTTGAGATTCCAGGCTGGGCAATAGGCAACACCAGAATAACCTTTAGCATATCCCTGAGGGCACACAAAAGTATCACCAAGAAACATCAATTCAGTATCAGCAACAAAGGGCCAGGTAACCTGCAACTGCACATTTAACTCTACGTCTGTACTGCAATTCTGGAAAGAGTAGGCACATACTTGGGAGGTTGTAATGTAAACATTTCCTCCCTCATCCACCTGGGATAAGCTAATGTCCACGTTTATCCAACTGCAGGTAAATGGATAACACTTTCACAAAGGACTTGCTAAGACTTTCAGCCTTTCAAAAATTTTATGAAGAAAACCAAGAAAGTGTCAAGAACATCATGCTGGTGAAAAATTTGCCTTGGTCAGGAAACTGACTCCAAGGCAGTCTTTAAAAACTTGCTGGAACTTTGGGAAATCAATTACAAATCCTTGTATGTCAGTACACCTAGAGTTTACTTACGTGGAATTTACTGATTAAAGAGACCAAAAAGAAAAAAAAAAAAAATCATTCAACAGTTTCTAACTGAAACCATGGATGTATGAGTTTCTTACAGCAGCCATGCCATAGCTGTTGCAGGTAACTGCTGCCACTTACAGTGATTAAAGCACCAAACACACAGCATGGCTTTGGTCAAAGAGAGCCTTCCTCAGCGCTGCAGGTGTGCAGTGCACAACTGTAAAAGACACCAGCTACCACTGGAAAAACCTAAACATGGAATCGAAAATAAATTAAGGAAATGGCATCTTAGTTTCAGAGCAACTCGCCTCCCTACTACATTTTGTTGTGGGAGGGAAGAAGGTAACCTACAGATTTGATCCTGAGAGTTGTTTCTCAGGAATGTTTCAGTCCCTGGATAAGAATTCACAGTCTGTGGGCACTTCCATATTGAAACAGGGTGTAAGACCCTTGAAAGCCAATCCTAAACCATCTGCCTCTGGACTTGTAAATGGTGGTGCTGCACTTGGAATAATCAGCATCTTTGAGAGCAAGGGCAGTTGCTGCAGGAACAGGTATAAATACCCTGACCACATGACCAGAGCTGGTAGCTTTGCACAGCACAGCCTCACCACTGTGGCAGTCATCAGGCCAGCAGAAATCCTTTAAACTGGTCATTTTCCTTGCCTCTTCCGTACACAAACAACATCTTCCCCCCAAAAAATCATGTGTTTCTCTCTAAATGACTTAGTACCATGGAAAAAGAATGAGACTCAACACACACAGTGTTAAGACCTATTGCCATCAAAAATGAAAACCCATAAAAGTGTGGCGCTATACTTCTGAACTCCAATCTACTGCTAAGCAGTGAACATACCAGATCAGTGGAGTGAATATACTGTGAATATACACCTATATTCCAAGGTGAGAACCCAAGTCATGATACCAGCTATGCTACCCTATATGAATAATAAAGAGTAGTTTTGGTAAAGTGCTTCAATCATCCTCCAAAAAAAGTTATGAAAATATAAGTTTTGGAAACATCTCCTTCTTTAAGAAGCAGATCTCTTTGTTTCCTTGCTACAATAGCACTTGCATACAGTAAGCACTGTATTTCTACCTCTACTATCCATTTGCTTCCTAGCTAGATTAGATCAGGAACAATACATCTGGATGTAGAGGAAAATGCCACAATCTAAAACTGTTAAAAATTCTGTGAAAGCCTTTGGCTACAATGAATGTTATCAAAACAGAAACTTTTGAATAATAATTTAACAAGAATTAAAAGAGCAGATTCTTAGCAAAACCAGGACATGAAATGCCACAGTATATTTTCATCAGGAGGCAAATCTGCAGGACCTGTTAGTGATGTTCACAATACGTTGTGCAGTGGGCTGCACTCAGGTACGCTGCACACTCAACTCTGGTCTCCAGCAAATGGAGTTAGAAGCAAAAGCAACAAATGTTGAAAGACATCTGAGACAGAAATTAAGTTTCTGAAAAACCAGTATCCTTGATCCAGTGAATGACAGTGTGGAAGTTCCCATTTATTAACAGATCTGAAATACTGTGGCTATTTTTGAAGATGTTGCTAAATGTAATTGCTAGCAATGTCAGTTTGCAATTAAAAAATATCATTTTTTTTCCCCTTATTAGCCCTTCCTTGACTACCCAAAAGAAACTTCAGTACCGAATAGCACACAATCTATTGACGTGGAATACATCTGCTACTGCTCTTTGCATTATTACAGATAAATGAAAATATACTGTGACATCAAACATGCTGTACAGGTGACTGAGACAGTGACAGCAGCAGCAGCAACAACAAAAAAACAAAACCAAAAAACAAATAACCCACCAAATGCTGAAAATATAAGCACCCTGCAAGTGCTTATTCACATAGGCAAAACCCGAGCGAAGGACGTAAGGCATGCTCCAAAAACCTCAGAGGTCACCTGGGGCTCACAGGAACGGCTGCTGCTGTCAGAATTCTTATTCCAACATCCCGAGGGAAAGAGAGGGAGTCAGGGGGAATGGGCACCGAGGGAGAAAATAAAAACTTCAGAAACTGTACCCTTGCTGTCAAAAAGGCTTCAAAGTCAGCTGCCATCTTGACATGAGGTTGCAATTCCTGTTACCATACCTTTTTAGACAGAGGGAACATGCTTAGTGAACTGGCCCCTCACTCGTTTTCTAGAAAGGTTAAATGTAAAGTGTTAGGGGGCTGTTCCTTTGTTTATTGGTTTGTTTGTTTTTTAAAAGAAACACCTCAGCTAGCTCCAAACATGTCTTTTTCTGATTCTGGAGACTGGGGCCTTGATATTTCAAACAACTCCTGTGGCGACTGGGAGCTTCTTCTTGAGGTCAATATCCTAAGTATCTCAGCAAGCTGGTTTTCTATATTGGTCATTTTTGTGTTTAAAGCCTTGATGTCCTCTTTCAACTCATGCTTCACTTCTAGCATGGTGGCCTGAAGAGTCTGTTCTGGGATGGGATAAAAGGAGTGCTTGACCTCAGTGAGGACCGGACTGTGGTCCTGTGGGCTTCTCGTCTCCCCAGCGTTATCCAAGCGCAAGTCACTTTTCGTAATGCCACTGTCACAAGAGTCTGTCTTCTTCAGGGTAGCTTCTCCTGAAGCTTTAGTTCTCTCTGGTAAAGTCTCCATGGACTCTGCTTTAGAGACCTTGTTCCAGTCTTCACCTTTCCCACAGGCTTCCTTGAATTTGGCCCAGCCTTTCCGTCGGGGATAGTCCCCCGAGGCTTTACACCCTGCGTGGTCCAGTGTTGGGGCCTGCAGCTTTGCCTGGTCGGAGGCCCCAGAGGTCGACGCGGGCTGGTAGGACACAGGGGTCGCCGGACTCTCCCGTACAGTCACGACGCTGGCTTTGACCACCGAGCGAGCAGCGGATTGCTCCCCTAGAGCATTGCCCTTTTCCACATCCAGGTCGTCCGGATCTCGGCCCCTCTCTGCTGCAAGCCGCGCTTCCTTCTGCTGCCTGAACCTCTGGAACAGCCGGCGAACCGGGTGGTCCGGGGGTAAGATCAGAGGTGCTTCGTTCTTCCTCTTCATCCTCTCCTCCTCTTCACGTTTGACGTCGCTGATTTTCCGGAACACAATCTACAGGGGGAAAGAGATTTCAGTCTGTGATTAACTGCACATTTGTTAACGGGGAAGAGTTGGAGAAAGAGCCATTTGAAAGAATCTGTTTTAACTGAGAAATGCACAACCCCTGCACATTTATAGCAACATTTTCAAATGTCTTATGTTGTGTGGAACTTGGCTTATTTCATTATTTAAGAGCAGACACAATCTGTCTTATAACACCGGAAAGAAAAAAAGAATAGATTTCTCCAGCTCTGAGAGGTCAGCAAGGCAGTGCCATTGTAAGTATAATGATCCCAGGAAGCTCTATTTTTGTTAAAAGTGACTTCTCATATTTGTTTTCCCAACTCCATAGTTTCTAATAGTACAGAGCCATTCCCAGCAGTCTCATCTCAGAGCTCACTCACCACAAAAGATCTGATATAGCTTCAATGCACCTTGGCCACTCATGGTGTCAGTACAGCAGAGATTATTCTGGACTCTTCAGTGGCAGTTTGCAAAGTGCTGCTTGCCACTCCCTTCCTTCCCACATTCTTCTAGAAGCAAAGTGCAGTTCAGGGATGAGGCAAAGCTCAAGTCAGTCCCACAGCCAAGAGCACAAGGACAATGAGGGATGGGCTTCGCAAGACACAGGGAAGCTGTTCACGGCTTGATTTCTTTATTTCTATGCAAAGGGTAACATTTTTGCACAAAGAAACATTAATTTTCCATTTACCCTCCTAATTATATCTTCCTGAGCCTGTAGGATAAGCAATCTCTGTAGGAGCAGCCTGTGGGTCTCACAGGACTGATCAAAGCCTCACAGTCTCCCAGTCTGCAGCCAGGCAATGTTTCTTCCCTGTATTCAATGGCAATACATTCTCTTCAAAAACTTTTACATTGGTATTGATATTTTCCAAGCAAAAAACCCCTCCAGTGTGGCATTAAATGAGAACCAGTAAGTAGTCTTTGTTTGAAAATGAGAGGTCCCCTAAGTTTTCAATAACAGAGTGTAGAAGAGGTAGCCCCTAGCTTCTGCTGAACACTGACACCTAATCTCTTTAGCTGCTTTTGGGGAAATGCACTCAAAAACCTTACACTCCAATGCAGAAATAACTTTCAGATTCAAATCACTATTAGGAAATGTGTAAATAAACCCATCCCTCTGCTACAGACGGATTTAAATTAAGCTAGAGCTAATAAGCACTGCTTCCCTGGCACACGCAAAATGAATGTTTCTCCAGACTCCAATGCTTCTTAACAGTTCTGTCATTGTGAAGCGGGGGAAAAAAACATCTTAACAGTGCATCTTTGAAAGGAAGAAGTCGTCAGACTTGGCAACATTTCCCAAATACAAAAGAATAAAATTAGCAGGAAGGATATTTTATTTCCAAGCTGCAATTAGGAAACTAAATATGAGATAAGAATAAGAAAACAGGGTACTTAACAGTCTTTTTATTTTTTACCCCCTCAGGAAACTCAGTCTACAGGGAGCTCAGTAGAAAGTGGACAAAGAAGCGTAATCCTTAGAAGTGAAAGAATAGCACTCTCTGGGAAGGGAGATTCAACGCAATCCTGCGGGTTAATGGCTTCCCACACACTGGCAGTCTTCCACTTTACCTGACGGGCAAGTGTCAGCCCAGCATTAGGGCATCTGCCTTGCATGCCCTGCTGGAGCTGAGCGATGCCAGGCGGGGTCTTGGGGGGTCACTCCAGCAGCATCCTGAGGCTGGATCTGGGGGCACAAAGCCTACAGGCAATATACAAGGCAAGCTACAAGGCAAGTCAATCTGTTTCTGCAAAGTTCTGTGTCCCCAAACTTTCCCTCTCCTGCAGTTTGTATGTTTGGTCCTGGTGTGGACATCCACATCCTGTGCCAGATGCAGTTAACAGGGCTCACATCACTTTGTACACGAGCAGGTCGTCTCAGTCTGACTTATGGATCAGGACAGTGTGCTTTCCTTAAATGTTCAGAGGGATGCATGACGGGCTGGTGCAATGGTCGCCCTCACAGGGCTGGCTCGACAGAGCTAGAGGCCAGATTGCTTTGCTGAGTCTGTGTCTGAGCCAAGCCCTGCTCCACACAGCCCATTCAGCACCTTGTGCACTGGGGCACTTCTCACCTTTAATGACTGGCTTTTGCAACATAGATGGGTAACTTATTTACAGAACCTGCCTCTGCTCCAGCACCATGCAGGTGAGAGAGCAATAAGCAAGTTTCAAGCAATCACTTATTAACAGACTGGCCGAACCCATAGTAACCACTGCACCTCAGGCAGCTAGTAGCATGATCCCCCTGTTGGAGTACATGATAAACAAATCTACTGGGAAACACAAAAAGGTGAGCACTGACAGAGAAGCTGTTGGTAGCACTTATCCATCCACAGCTTCCACTGCTCTCCATGGCACTGCCTGGGTGAACCCATCCTGTGGGCATCCCATAGTGTGGATGCCAAGTACACTCTGCCATGGATAAGCTGCCATCAGCTTCCCTGCTGAGTGGTGATCAGCCTCAGGACCCTGAACACACCTTCACTGCTTTGCCTTCAGGAGATCTGGCTGCTGCAGGAACAGGAATGCATATGGAGGGAACATTACATAGCCTTTGCCATGGGTAACTGCTATCAAGCTAATGAGACCCCTGATTTCCATTTTCCAAGTGAGGCCTTACAGCAGCTATGAGGGAAGGACACCACAGCAGCAACAACCTGCATGAATGCAGAAATGCAACCCTCAGGTCTTCCACCCTGCCTGACATCTCCGACATGTATGCATTTATGTAACAGGCTGCACTCACGTGATGCAAATCAAACCTACGCACATTTGCCAGGGGACATCACCTCCAGCTCTTGGGTTGGCTCCTTTTAACTCTTAAGACAGTGGATAAATAGCTGTCAGAGAGCAACTTCTGTTTAGGAAGCCCAGGCAAAGCTGTCACTTGTCTCCTTTTTTGCAAGTTCCCCAATGCCATAATTTCATCAGATAGCTCCATATTTATGTATTAAGGAAAAAATGTTATAACTATGCAAATATCAGAAGTAATTGAAAAGACTTTAATTAACTCAATTTTTGAATGTTTCTCTGCCTATTTTAAAGATTAAATGCAAGTCCTTATAAATAAAAATACAAATAATTTTTAAACGGACTGTTTTCTTACAAATGTTAAGGGAAACACAATTTTTAAGTTGTTAAACAGCTTAAGCAGCAGCTAGGTTATTCTGGAAATGTAGTTGTTATGCCACCGTAAGTACACCTGCTCCTACAAGCAGTAAGAGTACAAAGGAAAAGAAAATAGATTTCATTTGTTGTAAGGAAGAGAAGTTTGGACCTACACAGACATTTTCATGTGGAATTTGATAGGGCTACACATATGGATCTTAATGAAAGTCAAACCTCAGCATATTATGGCAAAGATTCCAAGACAGCTTTTAGAACAGTCCCTCTTTCTTTCTGTCCAAGCATTCATTTCTGTCTGGGAAGGGATAGTGCTTTGTAAACTCAAAATCTCCTAGCCCGTGTATTACACACTGCACAAACAGAGGGCACTTTACAAGCTATGTAGTTCTCCATAACATCATGCTCTTCAAGACCTAAGCACACAGAAAAAATATAGTGGGAGCATTTTAACACTATGTCAAGACCAAAATATCAACAAAGAACCAGAATTGAGATGAAATAACATGAAGTTTAAACACCAGGCCTAAAACTGTATATTTCACATCTCCAATCTGAAATTTCATTTCATAATTCTATTTTTACTAAAAAGATGTTGAATCTTGTGCCTCCACGAGGAAGCTTTGCAAGATACCAGAAATTTGAATGTTGTGGAGGTATCAGCCTAGGTTTGCCAAAAACTTGAAAAATAGGTCTGTTAGGCACAGATTCTTGCAATCATATAAACACTTAACCAAGACAAGCAGTTCTGATGACTCAATAACAATCTTATTTTTTTGATAGTGCACTCAGAGAAGTGGAGAAATGTGAGGACACATTTGGGTGCACTCCTGCTCCCATATGTCCCCACAGACGACAGCATGCTCTCTGTGGCCACAATTCCTGCCTGCGCATAAGTCCTGTCCATGGAAGAAAGGCTGAATTACATCTGGCATGTTTCCTTTTCCTCAGTAGTAACTAGTTGTGAAGCCTTATATAAGTTTAGGGGAAAGACTCTGTCTCTTTTTAATCATTGTGGAATTTTCAAGTTGTATTTGTAGAATCAATGTTTTTAGAGATTAATGTTAAAGTATTAAAAAATTAGATGGACATATATGAATACCTGAAATACCTTACTTGGTTGTGAACTGTGAAGTGCCCAGCAATTGTTCCACAGATTTTACTGTGCTCAGCACTGAAATCCAAGCATCATTTAAATAACATAACATGTACATTATTCATGAATATGACTTTCATAATTTCTTTGTGATAAGATCAGAATAACATATGGCAGTGTGACCTCCAGAATAAGGCAGGTCACAGAATTGCTCTGAAGGCATTCCTTGAGGGGAATATTGTTACCACTAGATTACATCTTTTAGAAAAACAACTGGTTTGACGGTAACACAGAATCCACCATCACACCTTGATGAAAGATACCTTTATTTTTTGATTCAAGACTAAGTTTCATAGAATAACAGAATCATAGAATGTCTTGGGTTAGAAGGGACCTTAATGTTTATCTAGTTTTAACTCCTCTGCCACAGGCAGGGATACCTTCCACTAGACCAGGTTGCTCAAAGCCCCATCCAGCCTGTCCTTGAACATTCTGGGGATGGGCCACCCGCACCTTCTCTGAGCATCCTGTTCCAGTGTCTCACCACCGCCATAGTAAAGAATTTCTTCCTAATATCTAATCTAAACCTATCTTCTTTCAGTTTGTAGCCATTCCCCCTTGTTCTGTCAATACATACTCCTGTAAAAAGTCTCCCTGTCTTTGTTGTAGGCTCCCTTCAGCTCCTGGAAGGCCATAATTAGGTCACCCAAAGCCTTCTCTTCTTCATGCTGAACAATCCCAATTCTCTCAGCCTTTTCTCATAGGA